AAAATTTTCTAGACATATATTTATATATTTTTGAGATTCATTAATGGTGGCAGAGAGGAATAGTATTAAAAGCTGTTTATTCTGGCATTTTCACCATTATGATTTGATCGCATCTTGTAGTGTAGAGATTTGTGCATATCATCTTTAGGTTCCTCTCCAGCTAGCACAAACTCATCACAAGGTGCCAATCAACAGCCACCACCAGGACTGCATAATGGGTCTCAAATACAATTCAATCATCGATCAATCTTTCAGACGGACAATAATAGTTTCTTCAGTTCAAATACTTTCCAAAAAATTTCTACTACTACAGTGCCACCTACTTTAACAGGCAAGTATATGTAATTTTTTTAATATTGTGAATTTATTATTATTTTTTATTATTATTTATTATTATTATTATTATTTATTATTATATATTATTTTTAAGTGAACTTGAATTATTATAGAAATTGAAATTAAACTCTATATATGTTATGTTAATATTAATTATAATAATTATAATAATATTAATAGTTAAAATTAAGTATTATAAGAAGAAAATTATAATTAATTTTTTTTTTAATATATAGCAAATCCAAATCTGAATTGGACAAGTACAGGCTTAACTTCTATTCCTGATTCATTAAGAATGGTTCAGTCTAGTGAAGATTGGCAAACAGCTTTTGGTTTTCAACCTGAAACTACACAAACAAATCATGTTATACAAAAATCCAGTCCTTCTAGTTCACCAGGAGTAACATTCAATTCAGAAGGTTTTGTCGATGAAGAAGTTTATACTAATCTACAATATACTTCTTTATCAGAACCTTCTGGTACTTTTACATCAAGTTTGCTTGTTAATTCTCCTGCATCTAAATTTATGGCAGATTTTCAACAAAACTCATTACAACAAAGGCTTGCTATGCAGGTAAGTAATTCATAGATAATTATTTATTAAGATATTAAATTATCATAATATCTATCTATAACATTCATATAATATATAAAATTGTATAAAATATAAATAATAAGAATATAATATTAATAAATTAATATTATATATATATTATATAATATTTTAAATTATAACATAAAATATAATAATATATTAGTAATAAATAACTATAATTTTTTTAAGGCACAACAAAATCAAGAGAATTGTGAATACATAAAACAAAATGGTCATGCTACTTTGGAAGAAATTCGAAATCATAAAGAATCTGGTTCAGATTTAAAGGCAGATGATGATTTAGGTTTTGATCCTTTTCATGAAACACAGAAAGCTTTGGCAGAACTTATGGAAAACGAAATGCAAATTCAACAACAGAGGTTGTTTCAACAACAACAACAAAGAGAAAGAGAAGAACAAAATAGGGTACAACATCAACAGAATATTGCAAATCTTGGTCAACAACATTTTCCACAGGTAATTTATTGTAAAAAAATTATGAATTATAAGAAATTTAATAATTTAATGATTAAAAATTATTAACTATTTTATTATTTTCATTTTTATATTATATATTCTTTATAATTATTGTTTAGGTTGCCCATATAGCACATTTACAACAACAGGCTCAACATCTACAAAATTTACAAGTTATTCAACAGTCGCATTCCTTGCTGTCTCGTCTTCCACAAAATTTATTACAAAGTGGTACGCAAACTCCCCCTCAGAGTACTGTGGCTGCTGCTAGCTTGGGACAACGTAGTCGCCTTCCACCACCAGGTTTCCCTGGTTCTACACCAAATCACATGAATTCTTTTGGTCTTGGCATACCGCGACCAGCTCCCACGAACAATGCTCTTTCGGGTTAGTATTTTCGTAATTTTGACAATAATTTATAGTAATCATAAACATATTTTATGTTTACTTTATTCATTTGTTGAATATTGACAAAGTCTTTTGACTCTTTAGAAAATAAAGGTGAATTTTATATATATATAAATTGGAAATAGTAAGTTAGTGTCAATAAATATGTATTTGTGGTGAGCAAAGTGTTATCCAAGTATAAAAGTGAATTCTTGTGACTTTGTAAAAAAATCTATATAATATTATACATGAGTCATTCGTCTAGTGTGCTGTTTACAGGAGCACAACCACCACAACAAAATGCCTATCTTCCAAATGGAAACCCCCTTTTGAATTCACAAGGTATTTTTTAATATTGTAATTAAATTTATTAAGAATAATCACTAATGATTGAATAATTTATATTATTTTTATGACTAATACTAGAAATTTCATTAATATTTAAAATAGGTATTAGTAAATGTGCGGGAGATGCAGTATATACGCTTAAAGATTGGTGTGATATTAATAATCAACAACAACAACAACAATTTCATCATCAAGCATTACATCAAAAAGGTGGATGGAACAATTTCGGACCTATTGCAGATTGGACTTCGATTGATCCAGCTATTGTTAGTTCTTCTAGGCCTCTTCCATTCCAAACTACTAGTACATGGCAATTTCCACATGTTCATCCTACACATACTGTATCACATAATGCGCAACAGGTATTGATTACAGATATATTTTCAAATATTTTACGAAAATATATTTTATTAAATAAATATATTCAAATATATTTTATTGTGTATATGTATAGTATATTTTTTATTGTATTCTATTTTGTATTATATTATATTATATTTTATTTTATTGTATTATATTATATTTTATTTTATTTATTTTTATTAATTTATTTTGATTAAAATAAGAAATTGTGAGTTTGTTAAATATAAGTATCAAAATATTTTATCTGAATAACAGAATGTTATTCTTTTTATTTTATAAGGAACAACAGAACGCACCAACTCAACATTGGGCAATGCAGCCACCACCAGGTTTTGCTGCACCAGCAACTACAGGACAATTGAGTAATCAACAACCAAGCACAACTGCACAGCCGCACACTAAACTTATCTCTGCAGGATCAGAAATCGAAAGTAAGATTTTTAGCAATATTCAAATTTTATATTTTTGTTAAATATAATAATAAGATATACATATATATATTACAGATCTATAAATAAGTATGAATACGCGAAGTATACAAGTGGCAGATAAAACATCCATGTGAGACAAGATGAAAGTCAACAATGACCCAAAAAACCGACAGTCTGTTACGTACGTTTTCCTGACCCGTGTCTATATCTTTCATTTAATTTTATTCCGATACTTTATTCTCATTAGATGAGTATTTATCGTTGAAAATGAGTATTGCAAAAAATACTGAATATAATTTAATGGATACTTTCGAATATATGCGACGAATATACTCCTATATATGTTCTCAATAATATTCTCATATTTAACCTATAGTAAATTTGAACTATTTACAAGTCTGGCAATTTTACTATGATTAAGTTTATGTAGATCGAGATGATACAGGTGTCAAAGGCAATGATCATGATTTAATAATTAACACATTAAATAAGAAACTTACAATGATAATTATACTAAACTAAAATTTTTGTGTATATATTACTCGGATCCCCCAAGTAAACTATATTCGAACGAACATAAGAAAGCTTTTTTGTGTAAATAACATTTTCAAAATGATATATATCGCGAGTAAAAATTTAACATGACAAAAATTCGTAAACAATTATTTTCTTTTGTACTTATAATTTTTTTTTTAAATTTCAAATAGGAAATTATGTTACAAAAGAAAAATCAATTGACACTTAAAGCGTGTTTTTATTTAAAATATAGTGGCGTATTACATTTATACTATAAAGTGCTTATGTACTGGCAACATTAGAACAAATTTTTTAACAGAATATTACTATTTGTCTGTTCTAGACAAAAGATTTCTGTTATATATGTATTATAAATATGTATTATTATTGTGAAAATGCGCAGATAGATATATGCTAATAAAAAAAACTAAAATGTAAAAAATCATAAGAAAATCAATTGTTGTTTTTTTTTCTTTTTTTCAAAAAGAATTTATAATTTAAAATCATAGTTAAAAATAATTAGTTCCTGAAATTTGAGTCATGATTATCATCTTGAAATTCACAATCAACATGTAATTTATGATCTTTTAATTTTATCTTTGAATTAATAAATATTATCGTATAATATCAACATTAATCAGTCTGACAAGTATTTTGCAAATATTCTTTTATGCTTATTTAATTTAAAAATACAAGAAAGTTAAGAGTTATTTGTTTTATTAATATAAAATGTCGAATATACAATATGTAAAAATAAATTATGAAAAATATACAGAAAACGAACTATGATATTATGGTGCTTTAAAAAAAAATTAAATGTAAAAAATTCTTTGATGTTCTTTAGAGTCAATCGTCAAAGTTTATGCCAGACAAATATATAATTTATAGTATATACTTCGTCGCATTTATATAATCATTCAACAGCATTTTTAAATCAATTAAATTGATTTAGGAATTGAAATCAGAAGAATCGATAGTATTCAGGCACATACATAGGATTCAGGAAACGACGAGCAACTGTCGAAATGATGAATATAAATAAGTCAACGTATCCGAATTTCGAATACGTACGAAACGATTACGATATATAAAAAAATATATCTGAATGATAGTACTATAATACAAAGTGTTATCGTCGAATGATTAAATTTTTGTGGCAGATTGTTAAACATATCTGCTAATTCAAAATGATTAAAGAAAACATGATACATATACAAGAGAATGATTGAGATAAAGATATAATTATAACAAATTTAATTGAATTAAGGTAATCGAGAAATATACGACATGCGCAAGAAATTATTGAAGAAAAGCATTTTAATTCATACCTGCCATTTTCCTTTAAAAATTCATTTTTATTAATTTTTTACTTTCCTATATATACTCACCTTTAATTTTTTTTTCCATATTTATATAAATTTTTGTTATTATTACAACATATGTCTATTTATTTTTAAAATACAATAAATAATTTTTTTAAATATATTTAAAATATTTTTTTTAAAATAATAATAAATCATAAAATTTGTAAATAATTAAGTGTTTCACGTTAAATTCACATTTATTAAATTCTGATGTACAAATAACAAAATATCATATTCCAATAACATGTATTATATCTTTGTTTATAACTTGTATATAATTATTGAAGTTCAGTATAATAATGATGACATGATGTTAAACTCATTTTAGAACTGTACATGCATTTTCCAAATAATGATATAAAAAGGAAAACGTGAATATTATACATTAATAAGAAAAACCAATACTATTTCATTCTTTTCGATTTTTATCACTATCATCATATTAAATGAAAACAATTCATAAAAAATTTGTATCTAATTAAACTATTAAACATCAGCAACTTCTGATTTATGAATTTCTTAGCAAGGTACGTTGACAAATTCTTATTATATTACTATACTGATATTAAAGATAGATGTACATGTCCCATAATGACTAGTTACATAAAAAATTTAAGTTATGAATTGTATATTATCTAGATACTCATAAAAAACATACTGAGCAGAATAAACTGCTTTTGCAAAAATAACAATTGATGTATCTTTTTAATATGATCGAACCATTCAATTCAATTTACAAATTCTAAAGTTTAACATAGATGTGAAATAAGATTGTATACATATTAAAACATTTTTATACCAATCTTTGTTTCACATGGAGTTTTAAAATTAATTTCTATATACTCTTAAATATCGAAATTTACATATACCATACTTCAGTCGATTCAATGTTTACAGTAAATAACTTTTTTATTATTCTGATTTTGGTATGTTTTGTAGTCTTTTTTTATATTAGAAAAATTAATATTATTGTTATTGATAGCTCACAAAAACTAAGCAGTACAAACAATTGCACATAGTCATATAATACTAAAAAACTATGGGAAATATGCACTGGGTTTTCCAAACTAATCACCGAATTTCTCGGTATAATATATTTAAATTTTGGTTTGCTCACTTCTCTTTGCTTTTCAAACTTTTACGTAACAAACCCCAAAATGCTTTAGGTTTTAAATTATTCTGAACTGCTGTAAATTTCCATCCCATATGATTATCACAATCTTTACACGTTGCGACAGTCCAAGCATATCTATAAAAATGAATTAAATTAAAATTTAAATATTAATTTAAAAAATATATGAAAAAAATAATTTTTACCCTGGGAACCATGTATAATTTATTGATGGATTATCACTCAGCGCAAGGCCTTGTGCATGATATAAAGTTACAGTTTCATGTATAATTCCAGAAGGGTTACAATAAGTACCTTGTGGACCTTCTTTACTCATTGGAAACATATGTGATTGCCTTCCAATGTAAGAATCGCAGTTAGAACAAACAAATATTTTGTCCTATAAAATAATATTATTTATTATTTCTAAAATTGTAAAAATATTTATAAAGTTTTAATAGATGTTCATTATACATACTTCTACTAAATATTTTATTTCTCTTTGTAACCTTGAAATTGCACAATCGTAATTTAATAAAACGATTCTTTCATTGTCATCTAATAACAAATTTTGGGCAACCCAAAATGATAAATCTGCAGGATCTTCTGGTATATTACTTCCTTCTAAAATGTATTAAATAATTTTAAATTAAAATAATGTATCATAAAAAAATTATGAAATTTTATTTAAAATTTATATTAAATATAAATATAATATAAAAATTAATTAAAATACTAGAAAAAATACATACTACTCTCAATAAATTGTAAACGTTGTCGTATTTTTAATGAAAGTCTTAAGGGATCGTATTGCCGATATACCCAAGCAGGCCAAGGAGTTACTATAGCATCTAAATTTTCTACTCTTTCTTGTTTTTTAAAATCTTCCTCACTTTTTGGTTGTATTCGTAAATGATCTAATGATGCTAAACGTTCATCCAAAAATGGTGGTCCAAGAGTTATTTCTGGTAAAACTTGTACATGAGCTGATATTTTATCATATCCCTAGAATTAAATATTTTAATAATAATTAAATATAATTATAATGTTATTTATTATATATATAATCATAACTATAAATAATATTATATCTTAATTTCATAAAATACATGTATAAATACACACATAAATAAATTATCACAATGCATAATATTCAAATATATAAGAATGAAATGATTATATAAAGATAAAAAAAGTCTATTTAAAAAAATATTGTTTTATTAAAGCAAGATTCTTATTTCTTATATTTTAAATTTTATTAATTTATTATTATTCTTAATATTTAATTTTTAGATTATATATTTTGCATATTATATTTTAAATTATTATATATTTTAAAACTTACCTGAATTATAACTCGCAAAATCTTAAATCTTTGTCTACCTTTAGCTTTTAAACGAAAACCTTGATCAGGATCATACATACATTCATAAATTTCTGCAGTTGTACCTATTGGTACCATTTTATCATATCCCAAACAAACAACACCTAATGTCCGATCATTTTCAATACATGTTCTTATCATATCAATGGTTTGTGCATCAAATACTGTCATTGGTAATGTTTGTCCAGGAAATAACATAACAGATTGTTTTACTAACAATGGCAAATTTACGTAAAGTCCATCATCTAATATTGTCCTTCCTCTAAGTTCTTCCAAATTATGTCCTAAATACTAATAATATATTTACATATTATTAAAATGATCAAATGTTATTAAATAAATTCAATTCTATAAAAATTTTTAATTTTAAAAAAAAATTTAATATATAAAAATTTATTATCAATAATAAGATTTCAAATATAATTCAAATAAAATTTTTCTAAAATTAAAAAATAATTATTATAATTATTTATTATAAATAATACATAATTATAATAAATATATAAATATGTATTGAAAACTTACAGAATGTGTTGTTGGTAGAGTCAAATCAAAAGTACTTTCAGTAGATATAGATGTTTCATCTGTATTTTCTTCTGAATAATCCTCATCATTACTTTGTCTGTTTTCTGGATTTTCTATAAAATAAATGTTTTATTCTTTTAATTTATTCCTTTATAAAAATATTTTTATGTTTATCATCAACAAAAAAATCTAGAGTGATTTATAGAAATAATACAATATTATACAATGACATTAAATTATTGTACGAAAATAACATATATTTAAAATTATTAACATTTTAAAAATATAATTTACATTTTATAAATAATTGACAAGAATAATTTTCCTCATTTTAGAACAATATGTGAAAAACTCGACACATAACCTGTAATTTATTAAGGAAAATTAAATACGTTTAAATATAAACTATATAAAAAAACATACCTAATTCGCTATGTGTTCCGTCATCATCTACATTGGCATCCATTATCATTTACGTATTTCTCCGGACTGCCAAGTTTTTAGAAAATTGTAAACAATCAGTACTTTTCCTCCCACAAATGTCAAATACGATAAGCCCTCTATTCTCTATCTATAATTTACGTATTTACGTAGAATGCACTTTACGGTTTTCATGAATTGACCTTTATTTAGAATTTATTTAAGTTTATCTGTTATTTTTTTGTTATTGTTAATAGTTCAATTTTACTTTGATTTTTAATAAATTCATCAATAAAAGTAATAACTATTTCAAAAATTGAAATGTTTTATTTATAAAATATATATTAAGCTTATTTTTCATGTGAAATTTATCTAATTAAATAAAATATATCTTGATATATTTCAAATAATCAGTTTCGAAATTTTGAAAATAATATATTTAACAGTTATACTGTATGATATATGCATAACAAATAAAATAGATATATCATCACATATATTCTAAATGCATATATAAAAATGAAATATATATTTTTATAATGTTATTTTTATTAGAAAAATAAAATCAGAATATAAAAAAAAAATTTTTTGCAAAAAAAATTTATCTTAATTATGTTATATTTCATTTTTAAATAATATATTATTATTTTTTCAAAGAAATGAATCAATAAATAATAATATATTTAATAATTCATACAAATATGTATACATACTTAAATTAGTATATTTATAAATGTATATATATAATATATGTATATATATTATATATACGTATATTATATGTATATATATAACATATATAAATGTATTACGAAATATTAAAAAAATAAAAATCTTTCTAAAGCTTATATAAATATAAATATATGATCAATTTATTGGTACAATCTTTTCTCATCGATTTTAAACTTGAAATATGTTGTAAAAGATATTTTGAGCAATTTTTTTTTATATATAATTTTAATTTAAAAATTTCGAATTATTTACGAAAAACTTTTGATAATCAAAATATTCAGTATGACGAATTTATAGTATGCGTACTAGAGATGATACGTACGAAAATTTTGCTGACATGTGAATCGTTTTTAGCGATATTATTTTAGCGATATACGTTTATAAATTATTCATATTTTTTTAATTATTATAATATATTTAAAATGATTTTATTTTACAAAAGAAACTAACTTATTAAAAATTATCCGATATGTTAACAATTCAATAAATATTAATAAATTTTTTGCACGTACACATAAAAAGATTCGCCTTACTGTATCATTGAATTCTGGTTATATATGTGCATCCATGACAGCATGTGTTGTCAATATTCAACTTCTCATCGCATTATACATATTCTTCTATAAACTATAAGCAAAAAATTATATCTTCAATTTCTAAATTCAATTAGATGAATAAATTATTTTTGTTTTGATTTTGATTATTCTGATAAAGTTGCTATATAATCTAACTTTGCTTATGTAATCTAACCTAAATAACATAAATTCAGTAAAAAATGATTTAAAACTTATCATCTTTTATTTAATTTTTTTTTTATTATTAATTTTTATTACTGAAGGATACACAATCACAGATACACATATAATAGTTATAATAATAATATAATAATAATAATATAATAACAATATTTTAATAATATAGTATGAAAGGTTTTTGTGAATAATTCGAAAACTAAAAGCTAACCATCGATTATGTGTCGAAGAAAAAGTTACTCAAGATGATGTTTACAATATATTTCAAAGTCATCAAAATCGGTGAGGAGGAAGTATATCCACGGATTTATAAAACATATAATTGCATTATATATATTATTCAATATTTTAAATAAATTACTGAATATTAATCAAATTTATTATGTGTATAATATAGTTATTTATATATAATTATTATATAGTTATTTACTTTAATATATAACTAAAAATATATATTATGTAATATATAGTTATTTATATATAGTTTATATAATATATAGTTATTTACTTTAATTTATTTGTTGTTTAATCCATGAAATATAATTATATACATTTATATATACACCAGGAACATTATTAGTTGCACAACCAATACCCCATGTAACTATTCCAACCACTTGCCATTGTCCATTTCCATTTTGACATACTAATGGTGAACCTCCATCACCCTAGAAAAATTTTGATTAAAAAATATTATTTTCAAGAAACTTAAAATAATAAATTTTAAAATAATATTTATTTAATAATATAAATTATGTAATATATCTGAAATATTTGTTAAAATTAAGTTTTAATACTTTAATCACTTACTGTGCATGCATCTTTTCCTTGCTCCCCTCCTGCACATATAAAACTACTTTTATTTAGTGTAAAGTATTGTCCAAGTCTAGTTTTCCGTAAATCATTTTCACAAGTTGATTGATCAACAATAGGTACTTCTACTTCTTTCATTATACTTTGGTACTTGCCATTTGTTCCAAATGCATTCTTTCCCCAGCCTGACACCCAACATCTTAAAAAAAGAAATATGAATTTATATTAAATAAAATTATATTAAATAATTAAATAAAAATTAATATTAAATGATTTTTTATATACTTTGTATTAGCTGCAGGTATTGCTGTAGGAAAACATGCAGTGTTAATATTAGGACTGCTTGAAATCGGAACAGTATTATTCAAAGTTATTACTGCTACATCATTTTGAAGATTAAGGGAATTAAATTCAGGATGTATAGATATTTTTTTAATTGAATAATCTTGATATGGATAAGGTTCATTAGTAGACTGGCCATCCCATTCTCCTAATCTTACTTTAAGTCCACCATTTCTATAAACAAATATTTTTGATTAAAATGTTATATTCTACTTATTAAATAAGATATAAAAATATATAAAAATAATTTATAAAATTCAAATAAAATAAAAATTTAAATTACTTACATATAAGATGTCACCTTGTGAGCTACAGTTAACACATGATTTGATGTAATAAGTACACCAGAACCAATATAATTATTGTTAGTTGTTAAAAGTGCAGCTTGCCAAGGATATGCACCATAACTGGCTTGACCTTGAGGATGTGAAGATGGCGAGATTTTTCTGATACCGCAAGTAGTGTCAAATAAGTTTTGTGAGTTAGATGAACAACAATATACTTGCCCTTCAGAACAATTAGAAGCCTTAAACAATTGAAAATATTTTTTTAAATATTCATAACTTTCGATTTACCTAAAAATTTATTTAAATATCACAAAATGTTAAATAAATAACTTATACTAAATAATAAATAATTTACCGTATTAACAATTCGAAAATCGATTCCTGGATTGATAGATGGACAGTTATTCTTTAAAACGCAACACGATGTTGTATTTTGATCTTAAATATAAGATGGAAAAATTTATGATAAAATATTTAATTTTATATTTTTTATATATATATAATATATCTATAATAAAACAATAAATCAATTCCATTAAGATATTATATCAAATAATAATTTTTATAATAAAAAATAAATTCTATTTTGAAAGATATTTAACTAAAAATATAAATTCTTTTTATTTTATAATAGATTTCAAAATTAAAATTAAAACAAATTTAAAATTTATCTTAAAAATTTTTAGAATAATAATAAAATATAATTAATTTTTTAATTCTAATAACTTAGAAAAATTGAAATTTTAAAAAAATGTTCAATGTTCAATTATTTAAATGATTTTACATAACAAAAAACAATTTCAATTTGTTAATTTTTTTTAAATTCTCTGCATACTTGACGACATAGTTGTAGTTATACTGTCAAAAGTAATCGTATCTTGTGCCAGAATACAATTTCTCAAAATACCCACAAACAAAACCGCGTATAATATATGAAACATGGTCGAATATCAAAAATAATTTTTTATATTCTAACTCAAAGCACTTGGAAGAATAAAATTTTCACTCAATAAGTTTTCCTTATATACAATGAGAATATCCTGCAGCATATTTTAGAGAAGCGCATTAACTCGTACATTCTTTCGGAACGAAAATAATATGCGACCTTTTACAAACAAAGGAGCAATAATCCTTTCCGTGATAATAAAACAGTATAGAATGTATTGCCAAGTAATTTAGTGTAAATTACTTCCGATCATAATTATGTCTTCATTTATGTATAAAAAGCGTGTCGCAATATTACTCATTTAAATAGTAAAATGTTCAAAGTGGAACAAGAAGCAAGGTCAGACGTGCTCTGAAGTGAAGAAGGTCAATAATTATAGGTTCCTGGTAGTATCATTATGAATCACTGAATCAACATTATAATTATACTGGTTTTTCCCTTTAGTTTGTTCTTTTTTGTTATAATTTCAGCAACAAATATATTTTCTATTTTTAAATATAAAATTATGAAAATGAAATTGCATTAATATGATATTCTTTTTAAAGAGTAGGATATTTTAATAAGTTTATAATTAATCAGATCATTTTAACATTGAAAGTGAATCTAAAAATAATAAAATATTTAAATTGTTTTAAAAATTAAATATTTTAACATAGTATAGTTTATCCAGAGATAATATAATCGTAAATTATCAATCGAGGATACAATTGATGCTGCAGTGATACTTTACATATTGCCATTTGACAATGTATTTATTTAATAATCAAAATATTTTTAGTTTTTACGATCACATTATATTTTTTTATAGGATTTTGTGACATTCTTCACGTAAAATAGGATTCCATTTCTTTTAAAACAAAAAAATGACATTTGAATTTAGCGTAATTCATTGGTAATAATTAGAAGCTGTCATTATTTTTTTATTTTTCATTTATGAACGTCAATAACACAAATAATAAATCTGCATTGTTCAATTTATTTATACATCAAGTTGCTACATTCCTTCATTTCGAAAGTAGTATTCTCACAATTTGTTATCGCTTTTCTCTCTGTCTTTCGTTTGTTTTGTTTCTTTCTTAAAGCATAGAACACTTAAAATGTTATTGCTCGCATAGTCGTCAATCCAGCGAGATATTAAGCACGTCTGAACTAACACGAGGACGTAAATATACGAAAATTGCTCGATATTGCGTGAACTAAAAACATAAATTTCGAAAAATTCACAATGAAAATCACCTCTGGTATTTCAGTCAATGGATCGTATTGTATTTTATCAGAGGAAAAGATCATTTTTCAATGTAAATTTGTAAACTATCTAGTGGTCACGGTATAGAATGGTGCAAAAAGTATTAAAAAATAATTGCAATATTTTTTATGTCAAAATCTTTTTTATGTAACAGAATTTGTTTAAAGCCAACTTTTTACACCATTTGATCCTTTCATTATGTCTACAAAACGCAGTAAAAAAAACTGCTCTTTTCTGCTGTAAAAACAGAAATTTAAGTTTTGTGGGACAAGATCAAGACCAGATAAGATCATGACTTAAACTTTAAACATATTTAAAAAGTCATATAAAATCAGAATTAATAGCTTCCTAACTAAGTTGGTACTTGACGGACAATGCCTAAGAGGTAGTATCAATTTTTTCTCATTATATTTGCACTGATTATAGCACAATCAGTTTTTTCGACCTCCGCGTCTCTTCATAGAAGATGTACATTGAGGACAGTACCACTTTCCTTTTGGAGGTGCAGTGATACCCACACATGGATAGTGAAACCATTCAAAAGGACACTATAAAAAGTTAATAATAAAAAAAAAAAATTAATTATTAAATATAAATATTTTCATTTATACATTAAACAGAAATATAATAAGAAAGAGAAATTTACGTCTGAGTTGTCACAGGCAACCATATCTCCATAAGATACTTGATTACATATACAATATCTTGGTTCATTTGGATCATAAGTCCAATCTGGATTATCAGAATCTACGACTTGTGTATTTGTAGTTATAACTGGAGGTGATACTGGTTGTTGAACTGAAGCAGCAACTACACTTGAACTTGGTACAGCAGTTGTTACTTTTCTAAAATGTGAAATAATATTTGTTTAGAAACTGAAAGCAAAATTTTTCATAAATATTATAGAAATCTTTTAATACATACTTTTTATGTTTTTTATTTGTTTCTTGTATAGCTGCAATGGCAGCACCAGCTAATTCTCTACTAAATTCGGCTGCATGTATACCTCCAGTATTGATGGCTTCGTAACTAGCTTTTAAACTAGCAGTACGTCTGCCATGTTGCATTTGTTGTGTCGCAGCAATTGCTTGCGATGCTGCAGCTGCTATGGCATTTCCACCAGCTCCTATATGACCGAGATTATAACTCACTGAACCAACAGAATTCGCGATTGCTGTAGGAGTAGATGGCACGCTAGTAGCGGCAATAATTGGTCCTGAATTTACAGAAGCTGGTCGCGATTCAGGAAGACTTGGTGAAATTTTTTCTATAGCTAAGCGTTTTTCTATTGATGTAGAAGATGCATTTGAATCTCTTCTTTTTTCTGCCCGAGCTATAATGATTTATATAATATAAGTTACCTGTTAGATTAAATAAAATATATAATTAGAAGGAATACGTACAATGACTATGATTGTCTCGTGACCTACTGGATGTTGTAAAGCTATATCGATTCTCTTTTTGACTACTATTTGTAGGTGGTTGATCTAATTCCAGTGACCTTTTCTCCAATATTTCTGTGATACCTTTATTATCTGCTTCTAATTCCATTTTAAATTTGTGCAGTTCCTGGTCTAATCTCCTCAAATATCTATCTACTAAGTCATACATCTGATTGGCTAAATGCACCTTCTCATCTGCATCTTCCAGAGTTTTATAATATTCTCTTCTAATAGCTTCATATTCTGCTTCTTTTTCACTAGGTTTCATTTTCTTTGCATTTGCGAAAAAAATCTTTACTTTTTTTTCTAAACTGTCCATTGAATCTGCAATAATTATTATTCATTATTCATTTATTAACATAATTCTCAAAAAACATAAATAAATTTTAAATAGAAGTAGATTAAATTCATAGATGTAAAATTTAAATATAAATTTAGAGTACTATATAATTAAGTACATACTCTGTACACCTAAATCCATTTCTCTCATTTCTGTGAACCGGTCTCTTAATTCTTGAGGAAGGTGCTCGATCACTGAAACGCAAAAGAAGAAGGTCAACATAACCAAACAAACTCAGAATTAAAAGAATCAAATATAGAAGAATAAATAATATTTATCTATTTAATCTAATCATTATAATGTTAACATTAAAGTCATAAAAAATATTACAAATTACAACTTAACTCCAAAATATATTGGTAAGAGCAAAGAAATTATAGACTATTTAGAAAACATACAACTAACCTAAAATTTATGAAGAACAGTATGTCAAGTAATTGTTCATATTACGCGGTATTTAATTTGGCACTAAAATAAAAGGTAGCATTTAAATAATTATATGTGATAATATAATATTAACTAAGATATTCGCTTTGAGAAATGTTTCTGATGTTTGTGTGAGAGAGTATATTCGGAAAGGTTAGTAACTTTCTTGAGAAGCTGGGTAAGCAGAGCATGCCTCGTTTTTACGTACTTTCAACATAATCTTCCAAGTAAAGCATCCTTTCGTGCTGGTGCTTCGTTGCCTGGTGCTTAATTTACAATTATTTACAATTTACTAAAGAGGAGTGCTTGCCGCCGTGATAAAATTAACGAAAATTGTAGCACTCGATCAGAAGCGTGTTTACGGCGGCCAAATCCCTTGTTGTACCCACATTTTCACGCTAGTTCTGTAAATGATGCGAATCTATGAACTATTCGTATGAAATATCGTAGGAAAAATATCATTTTCGCGAATATAAATGGCTCAGTAATCTATGCATTCTTAAAAGTATTATTTATTTTAGAATTATTACTGGCCAGTTATCTATTCCTTGTAATCCGCCATCTTAACCTAACGTTCAGGGGTGTCTTTATATGGTTCTTTACCCCGTATAAATAATTTTTTATTTTCATTTTAAATATTTTATATTTTATCAATTTAGATATTTTTTTATTAAATCAATTCTGTCATCATATTTATTTTATTTTCTAATACATTTATTAGTTCTATAATGAATTTAAATTTATTTTATGTGTAATATGTATAAGTACTATATAATATATACAAAAAAATTTTTTTTCATTTACATAATACGAAATACAATAAAAAAATTTTAATTTATTAAAATTTCTATTTTTAATAAGAATTAACAATTTAAAATCAAAAATATATAAAAGTATTTTAAAATAAATTATTATGTTATAATATGCTGTAGATAATTATGTATCTAGTATTAAAGATTAAAAATAGTTCATTTTTTGATTTTTATTACTAACATTCTTCATATTCCAGTGAATCATCAGCTTGCAGTGAATACTTTTATATTGAAAAAAAAGGTGCATTGAACTTCTTAGTTAAAATGATACGACGAAGTCCAACAAGAATCGACTTACGATTAGATGATCTGCAAGAATATGAAGCAATGAGGAAAGCTCTTGAAGCTAAGAAAGAATCAGAAAGACCGCCAACATTTAATCCTCCTTCGTGGGGTGGTAAAGTACCGCAAAGCGAAATTCAAGAACGTATCGGTTATATGCCACAACAAAATCAACCTACGCATTCTCGACCAAATATATAGTTTTTTACGTAATATATATACATGTTCTAAATTGCATTATTTTCTATTGTTATTTTATTTATATGTTTGTTGTAATATTATATAATCAATTGTAAATTGAGACTAAATAAAAGACTATATAAAAGACTAAAAAAAATACGTTTAAATTTAGTTTCCAGAATGTTTATTATAGTATTACTAAAATATACATATGTGGCAGCATTTTTTGTAACGTTTAACAGTTTAAGAAGGTAATAACAATAAAACAATAAAATATGGACAAATATTTAAGTTCTAAAACGCAGAATTTAACAATATAATTTATAATTATGATATTTTAAATCATTATTATATACATATATTTATTTAAATGAATAAAATTATTGATCGTATTTCTATAATTTAATGGAAACAAAAATTATCGCCATTCGAAATGTTTTGCATATAAGAAAATAGTTAATGATAGTTTTCATTATCTATATTAAGGCATAATCATTATTGATAAAAATGTAAAAATGAACAATAAATGCATGATACATATATATAATAAAACTTATAAATAAATTGTATTGCTATATAAAATAAAAATTATTTCAAATGCAATATTGTCGTACATATTGTTCTTTTCGGAACGAGTTATTATCCTCTGAACCAGCAGAAAACTACGATTCCGATGATTTATAATATGTAAAATCTTTTTCAATTCCATTATTAATTAACTTGCTATCTTATACAGGGTCATAAAAAATACCCTTTGATGATCTTTTATTACTACAATCTTCGTGCATTATAAACCCTTGTTAAAATATAAGTATATGGGTATTTCTCTATTTTTACAATTCTTTTTTAAAAGTTCATAATTCTCGGGCTCCCAGCGTTCCAAAGTACTTGATTTAATTGAGCTATAAAATATTAAATATATGTATGAACTATATTCATTTAGATAAAATATTTAAAATATTATTATTATGCTAATTCTTGCATCAGTAAATGAATATTTAATATTAAAAATGATTTTCATAGATTCATTTCATAAATTGATTTTTGGTATAAATAAATTATATTTTGTTTGAAATATAAATAAGTTTAAAACTTATCAATTATTTTTACTATTATTAAGTTAATCAATTACTTATAAAAAATAAATAATTACTTATAAAAAACAAATATAAAATCGATAATAATATGCTAATAAAATATATGCAAAAATGTATAGAAGCTTACCAGTTTTGTGGGAATAATGCGCATGCTGTAGGCACCATGAATGTTAGACTGAAATATTAGAATGAATATATTTTTTTTTTGTACACATTCATCTTTTAAACTATTATATTTCGATTCGTAATTATTATTGTTATTATTGTTAATTATTATTATTATATATTAAATAAAAATAAAAATATTAAAAAAATACTCACAAACAGCCAACTAATAAAACTTGTATGGGTCCATGAAGAGGTTTGATTTTTTGCATCCAAGCATATTTTTCTAGTCTTTCCATAATAAGCGGTAGAATTACTAAACCATACAAATTTCTTTATTATATTTCATTAAAATAATTTATATTTCATTCATATTTCATTAAAATAATATATATTTCATAATGTATTTATCATTTATTTAATTTTTACTTACACATGCCGGGTGCACACATAACAATTCTCGAAATGACTACTTGACTGATACCTTTAACTGCCGCAAGCTAAAAAAAACATTTATTTTCCATTATTGATATAAAATAAATTACAGTTTATATATAATAAAATAAATGTAATTTACTTTTGATTTTGTCAATTTATTGCCGTTTTCATCACTAATTTCAATCGCTTTTGTGATTTCATTCTGACGCATTAAAGGAATGTTCACACAGTTTGCAGCAGCTACTGCAGCGAATGGCACATAACGCTATAAAAAATTAAAATTAAATTTTATTAATAATAGTCAAATTTTTATATTATTTATATAATATTTATTTTATATAATTGATTTTTATTTTATTAAGTTAAATTATATATATATATTTCATAATAGTTATATTTTTTAATTTTTAAATTTTAAAAATAAATTATTTATATACCGCCATAAGCGGATTTGCCCGTTTTGCCCAAAACGACTTGCATCCTATCGCAGTTATCATAGCTGCTGAGGTAGCACTGATATATGCAACCGCTAATTGATTGACTGTTGTGGGACTGTTGGCATTTCTATTCGTGTAGTTCACTAATGCGTTGAACGACTGGTTCACCCATTGCCAAAATACCACAGCTGTGGTCGTTCTGCAATTGTTATTAATGATATAATATATTATATTATAATTATATTATAAAATTTTTTCTTTTTTTCATAAATTTAAAAATAAAAATAAACAAAATATGATTTTATAAACAAAAATTACGATTATTAATATGATTACTTCTGCATAATATGAAAAAATATGAAAAAGTTAAAAAATTATCAATAATTTCATAAAAACAGAAATTTTTTCATTTTTTATAATATTTCATTTTATAAAATGAAAATAAATTAATTTATAAATTTCATTTCATTTCATTCATTTAAAAATAAAAATTTATCATTTTTAATTTTTTAATTTTTATAATTGTTTTTTTAATAAACATTATTTTTTAAAACTATTTAGTTTAAGCTAAAAAATATACAAAGAGATTTATTATTAAATTGAAGCCATTGTTTTCTAATAATTATCAGTTTTATTTCTTAATTAGTTTTTCTAATAAATTTCATTTTTTGAAAATTGTAATTGATAATTATATTGAAATATATTGAAATTATATTGAAAAATATACAAAGAGACAATTTACCTATAGAATTGAAGCATAACACCAGTGATAGCCATTCCACCTGGCACTTGGAAGGACATTCTGCCAAAGACATTTTGCAGGTCACCGGTGTCGGGATGAAAGGCCGACTCGTAAAGCTTCTTAGCATAGATGATTTGCTCCCAGGTTGTACCAGCTGGCTCCTTCCCAAGTCTAAGGGATAAACAGACTATTGATTTTTCGTAGACACAAAAAAAAAACAGTGAGCAACAAGGATGCGTGTAAATTTATGTTACATATGTAAAAGAATTTTTAAGTTGCAATGAATTTGAAAATTTTCTTTAAAAAAATACAAAATTAAATTTGAAAATATAATAACATAGAATTTAAAAATAATTGAGAAAGATGAATATTTAAATTGAATAAAATATGCATTTTGTATAGATAATTTTTTTAATTCTTGTAATTTTTTTAACTTAAAATTAAAATAAAATAAAATAAAAATAAAAATTAAAATTGTTGAATAATATATTTTTCTATTCGAAAAATAAGTGATAAAAGATATTTTATTTCTATAATATTGAAATATTTTTTTAATTATGTTTATAATATTGAATTTTTTTAATCATGTAACAATCCATAATTATTTCTTATTAATTATTTTCTTTATTATTTTCTTTTTATGATTGTTTCATATCAATTTCATATAATCCGCTTTTAAATTATATATCAAAGTTATTTGTTTATGAAAAAAAAATAAAATAAAAATGTTAATATTTGTAATACCTGAAATCAAAAAAAAAAAAAATCAAATATAAATTATATACAATGACTTATTATAAGTTTGAAATAAAATTCTAATTGAATGCAAAATCTTAATGATTTCCGTTTCTTCTTATCTTTCATTATTATTTATATAATTTATATATATGGTCAACCATCTATAATATAATGTCGAAAATTGAATAATAAATTGAATAAAACATTCACGAAAATATGTACAAATTATATTTTAAATATATATTATAATTATATATGTAATTATAAAGATAATTGTTATATCTATATTATTTATTATATATAAAATGTATATATTTTAGTTTACTTTATGAAAAATATAATAAAAATAAGAATTCACACAATTCAATTGACAATAAAATAAAATACATACTATATGAGATTAAAAAAAGTTGTTAGAATTTTATGAGAGAAAGGGGAATATGAAGATATGAAAGAAGTTTCAAGGTCAGTTCGATGTTTTAAATAGAACAGTATATTTAATAGAGAATGATAAGCTTTTAAAATCGTTTTGATATTATAAATTATATAATTTAAATTATATAAAAATTTAATAAATTATTCAATATTATTTTTACTTTTCAATTTAACTGTTTAAAGAATTAAATTATAAATTAAAATGATTCTCTATAATATACAATAAAATATTTAATATTTAATATAAATTTCTATACTAATTAATAATTATATCAAATTATGAATAATAATTTTGTTGTAATAATTAAATGTAAATAATTATTATAATTATATCATTTTATCTTTGGAATATTTAACGCAAATTATATTTATCGATAAAATTCTTATGTAACAGATTCTTCGAGCATGATAAGAACATCAAAAAAAGACTGAATTCTTAAATCATATATTCTGAATTTCAATCATTATATATCATTATATATATCATTATATTAATTATAAAAAAAAATTGATATCATGAAAATATGTTTTCCAAAATTTTATTATTTAATTATAAAAATATTATAAAAAATCTTAATAATTTTAATAATGAAATTTTTTTTAAATAAAGATATTAACTATATTTATACAAAATTATCTTACTTATTTTAATATGCAGTTATATTTAACAATTTATTAAAAATGCAATAATATGTATTTATATATTATTTTATATATTATTTTAATTATTATTTAATTATTATTTACATTATTTAAATAAATAAATAAAAAGCAATAAATCAATAAAAAGTAAACAGTACAATAATCATAATAGTTTATTACATATATGTAAATTAATTTTTAATTAAAAAGAAAAACGTAAATAAATATCTTGAAAAATTCTTTATTTCTATTAGTTCTTTTTGAATTTAATGCAAATACTTTATATTTAATATTTTAAGCATATTCAACTTTAAAATCTTTAATTTCCTCTTTTTGTAGACTATTCTAATTTATATAATAGTCTAATAAATTACTTTGTATTCAAAAAAACTAAAATGTTTTCTCATACTCACTTATAATCCTCGCATAACTTTTTTGCTTCGAGTAATTTCGATTCAGGAGTTACACATGTGCGAAAATCTGTCACCCAAGCGAAATGTTTCCATCTTCCAACGAAGGTGTTAAGATCCCATAAAGGTCCATCAATGTTCACTCTTTCCTCCCTCATTTTCGAGGGATATTATGGATTTAATCTTTTACAATAATAAAATCGATTTAATCATAAAATAATAAAATACTCAAATTATGTTTTGTTATAATACTATTAAAAGAAAAAAAAACATTGATTGATTACAAAGTTAATTAGATTTATTAATATTATATTTATGGTATGAACTAATAGTATCAAAATATAGTAAATAAAAATAATCATTATATTATTATGTAATATATAAAATCACTATCTTTTAATATCGTCTTATACGATTGTATTTTTGAAGTATTAATAATTTATAATTATTTATAATTATTATTTATTTATGCGTAAAAGTTTCATCCTTTAATATGAATTATTTGATTTCGAAAATTGATAAATTTTTAAAATAACCGTCCTAAAAATTAATAAGAGTCATTGTTTTATCATTTTATTGATAACAATTTTAAAGTTTTACATATTTATTTTGAATTTCAGATATATTTTATTTACAATATCAATTTTAAATAATTGAATAACGATCAATATGTAATTTTATAACTTTTATATAACTTTCAATAGGTTATTATATTATAAATGTCAAATAAATTAAAACTATATAATTAATATATTAAATTAATATATTTATTTATTAATATATATTATAAATAAATAATTGCAATGTACACAGTATATAAAAAAATCACAATATTATTTTATATGTATATGTAATTTTTATCTATGAATGTTTTATTTCCAAAAAAAAGCAAAAAATAAAAAATTGAAAATATTAAGTTAAAGTTCGAAAGTTTCTTAATAATATATCGTATCAAATATTTGAAAAATCATTTTTAATGACCAAAATATATATATCGATTATTTAATACTGTGACAATATGTTCGATATTCAAATGAACTTTAAAAAGCATAAGATGAATTATAATACAAAATTAAGACAATGTCGAATTCGATCCATTAATCGATATTATTATGAAACACATAAACAATCCAGTTTCGGTCGGTAAAGTTCGATGTTTAATCTTACATATACGTATCATTATTTTCGCGGACCCTGCATTTGTCTGACATACCGCATAACCTAAAGAGAGTACAATGTAATACATCGATTATAGTTTTATGGGCGAGGTGGCGCTTGTTTGTCTTGCACATTCTGGTTTTCATTTATCGTGATTTATTCGCATGACGTCACAATAAGACATTTGCGTGCTCATATTTTTGTAGATTTTTTAATTGTAGGCAATTATTGATCATGATGGGAAAAACTGATAGTTGATGAATGACCCACTTTTTGATTAAATATAAGCACATTTTCATTCAAAAACAACATTGTAAAACAGTTGAATGTTTCATATATATTTTCACTTTCGGTTGCAATATATCAAATTACACGTGCACGACCACATATTATGTAACGTATTATAAATAATAGGCATAATTTTTTGTCCGCTTACCCGTGAAAACGTGCGTCACTTCTGGAGAGTCTACTCTGTTCTGTTGTCTACTGTCCGCGCAAGCCAGCTGATTGGTACCCTACTCCAACACCTATCTACCAACTCTTTTGATACACCCCTGCGTTTCTCCCTTCCAGGCGCTGCCTTCTTTATTATTATTATTATCATCGTTATATGCGCTCTGTTTAAATTCTTTTCTTTCTCATGGAATCATTATTTGTCTATCTTCGTTGAATATTGGCAAAATTGATAATTTTTAATAATTCTTTTTTTGTTAATTTTATTGTTGATTTTAATAGTTAATTTAGAATGCAAAGAATTTTTTTTCTATTACATGAAAATGATTAAATAGATAATTTCATATTTTTGATATAAATCATTCATATTTAAATTATTTTAAGTTTCTTCAATAATAGTATAAATATATTATAAACAATTATTTAGCAATAATTCCATAAATAATTCTAAATTAACAATAATAAATAAGATATTGCAATCAGATCAAATATGAAAAGACAATGATATAAAATCATCAGATGTTAATGTATCCAATATCCATTATTAACATGATACGAAAAATAATGAAATTGTAGTTTACTTTTGAATTGTTCTACCTATAATGTATTTAACACAATTTAATTTCCATTGTCACTAACAAGAAGAAAAATGATCATATATATGAATTATAATATTTCTCAATACAACCATTTTTTTTATATAATTTAAAAGTTATTTTATTCTATATCGCATAATATATTTTTTTTAACATATTCTAAAATAGATATGTTTCCAAAATGTTAATTTGTATTTAAATAAATTTTACGAATTTGCATATGAATTCATATCCATATTATAAATGTAAAAATTTTTTTGAATATATTACTTAAAATTTTAATTTTTTTTATAATATTCTTATGTTTTTACATTTATCATATTCATAATAATTAAAAATTTATCTATTTTAATTATCTAATTAATTCTATTTAATTATTTAATTCTATTTAATTAACTTCAAATATAATTTGAATCTTTAGTTCGCATTTCTTATACAATAGATGTAAATGCTGTAATGTTATATTTATATTAATATTTAACATTGTTGTTTTTAATAATACTACAAATTTTTATAATTAAATTTATTTACTTTCATAAATATCAAAATAATAAAATATGCAAATATTTTTTATATATATTATTATTGTATATATAATTGTATATATAATTAAATTTTTGAATTTACTAGATATGAAAAAGTTTCTAGAATACTTTGCCTAAAATAATGTCATCTACACAACGCTAGACTACGAATATTCAATTAACACAAATTTACAATTATGCAATGATATTTAAAAATTTATCTCAAACATCAAAGAGTCGCATTTCAAAGTTACAAACTTCCTTTTTTCAATAAGAACAATAGTCCTTGTTCTCTTAAGAATGAATCATGGTGGTAACACTTCCCAATTTCATATCAGTTTGAAGAACACCCTAAACGTTCAATATGAAACGCGCAATATTCTGAGTTGCGCAATAATATTGACAGTAGTACAGAACTAATATCGAAGACGTATACATGGTTCGCTCGAATAGACTTCTACTTATTACGCCACAATTTGTATTGTTTATTATATAGCATCAATAAAGTATTAATTATTGATGCACATAAAATTCATTAAACTACATTATGGAGCTTTTGATCTTGTCTTTAAAGATTGCAATTTGTTTCTGATGATACTTTTCGTTTTTAATTTCTTTTTATATATCGGTTTTAAATCAATTTGTTAAATTTATGAGACGGATTAATCAGAGAAAGTTTAAACATAACGCTTAATAAGTTACAAAGGTCAGTGAACAAAATCAAGTTCACGGGCGCTCTTGTCGAATTCCTGTAATGTTCATAGCGTGATTTTCTTTATCGACGAATTATTAGCGCTCGTCGTTTCTTTCTTTCTTTTCTCTTCTTTTCTTTCTTTTTCCTTTCTTGATTTATCTTCTTTTATTATATTATAAGACCGTTTTTTGTCGTTTTTGTGGTCATTGCAACATAGTTAGTGCATAAAAACTTAGTGCACTAGGCCGACTAAGCTATATACTTCCGTGCTCGGGAAAAGTAGAACTCGACCTCATTTGTTAGGCGTCATTATATTGTAGCTAAAATTGTCATGAATTATTGTTTCGTAATATTCATGATATAATTTCGAATATTCATCTTTGCGTTTAAGTTGTTACTCATTTCTACCAATATCTATTTTATTTATTTTTTTTATAAATTCTGCAATTAATGGATTTAATAAATGTAATAATTCAAAAATAATAATTTCAACAGTGAATCAGAGTGAATTCATCAATTTAATATTTCTATATTTATTTTTTTTGTCTTGATTAAATTTTAAAAAATTTATTTTATAAAAGAATTCATAAATTAATATTTTAATAATTATTTATTATATTTTTTATATTTTATTATTAAATTATAGCATATAATATAAAAAGCACAAATTATATTTGATTCTCTTTTTATTATTATTATTATTATTTTATAATATAACACAAAATTATTATGTATTGTACTAATTTTTTCATCCATAAATAATATTTCAATATAAATGTTTTTTGATATTATCTCTATTAAAACTATAAACTAACTCCATAAACTAATCTATAAAATATTATTTTCTGCAATTAAAATAATGTTAGATTCAATGAATGTTATTAGCGATAATCATTTTCGGAAAATAATTGTTATTACAATTATTTCTATGTGACAATTTATTATATTAATAAAAAATTCATATTTTATTTTTATTTTTTTATCTTATTTATCATGATATGTTCATCATCATAAAAATATCACAATTATTTATTAAAAACTATGGATTTTTAAAATTATGAGAAAAAAGAATTGTACATAGATTATAGATTAAGTTTAATAATTTTATTCCACTTATTAGAAATTAGTTTAAAAAAAAATAACAATTAAAATTTAATATAATTATATAATATTCCCATTAAAATGTCTAAAAATTTTTTTTATTTATCATTTATATGCTAACTATTCCTATTTATATATATTTTCCAATCAGTATGCATAATTAGTTTTTAAACATAAAATATTTTATAGAGAGTAAGTTTATTCTTCCAAGTTATCCCTTCTATATCTCGTGGAGAAAGAATGCTTACGAAAAGTATATGTATAATAGTGATGTATCTAGACCGGGTATTCAATGTATAAAAACAAATTTTATTCAAAATTAACTAATTCAGATTTTATAGAATGAATAAATCATAAGAAGATGTGCATTCCAATGAAAAAACAATAGATTTAATTTCAAGATTTTAGTAATATATACTATCATTTATGGTTTGCTTATCAAAAGAGAAGGATACTGTGAATAGTTTTTACTATCCTGAAGTAAAATAATATAGTGCTGTATAGCAATATATCAGTTATATCTATTTTTTCAAATTTATTTTTTAATATTTTGAGGAATTATATCACAATGATTATAAAAATATTAATTTATATATTTTATTTTATTAATATCTATTCGGATGATTTCTTTAAAAAATTATGAAAATAAGAAAAATAAAAAATTACATATTAATTTATATATTAATTATATTATAGTAATATATTTTTAAATTTTCAATACTCTTCAAACTTTTCTCAATAATAAATACAAAATATACAATAATAATAAATTACAAATCAATATTTATTCAAATATGATATTATAATTCATCTTTCTTTTAAATTATTAAGAATATTTATTAATTTTTTTAATTAAAAATAAATTTAAAAAATATATTTAATTTTATATAAATTTCAGGGCCAATAGTGTCAAGTTACGGACCTTTAGGAGTGGAGTGGGAGCGCGAAACGCATGCGCAGTAAGGCATAAATGCCCAGCTGTGCACAAACGTGAAATGCGGTGCGGTTGGCGGTGGTGACTGCTAGGAAAGCAAGCGAGCGAACAAGCGAGCAAGCGAGCAAGCAAGCAGGCCGAGACTGCCCTTCTGTCTCCCCCACCCCAAGCATGCCTCGCAGAGCCCATGGCCTCCGTACATACGGAGGAGAGTGAGGCAGCCCCAGCCGCTCCTCAC